TATTTTATAATTTAGATATTTTACACCTACCAAGATGGTTCTATGCCCAATTTGCAGACAGGCCATATTCAGAGAGAACAAAAAACATTAGCATTTTCTATTATGACATGTCAAGCTATCTTCCATGATAAATGCTTAAACACAGATGAGACGGAATTTGAAACACTAAGGGCAGCAAGAAAAAATTGAGTATGTCCGAAATGTGATAATATCCAGAAAAATATTCAAATGACAGATAAGTGCTCGAGCCCCCCAAGATCGGCTCCACAACAACTAACTGTCGATGCCTCGTCCCAATTACTACTTTCTGCCATTAAAGATCTTACAGAAGAGGTCAAGGAATTAAAATTCTCCCTCGATGCCAATGCTAACGAGGTGAAAGAACAAAAATATCCCTCGAAAAGCAAGCTTCTATCACTTTCGAGAATGCTGCAAAACTAGATACTATGAGTCACTACTGGAGGCTCAAAACTCTAAGATCGACAGACTGGTCCTGGAGAATTCGACTCTCAAGTCTCGGGTCTCGAAATCAGGCTCAACAAAAGTGAGCAATTGCATCTTCCCAGGTCAATAGAAATAAGAGGAGTCCGAATGAGATCTGGAGACTTCGATGGGCCTGGTGATGAGGGAGGGGACGGGCCTGGGCATTAGTTGAAAGGTGGAGGACATAGACTATGCAGAACGGATAAGATCCAGACAAGACGATACGACCAGGCCGCTTGTGGTAAGGTTCGTCCGGCAGTCGCTTAGGGATGAGTTGGTCTAGAGGTGAAAACTTATAATGAATTTTTCAACACGTCACCTGGGATGGCAAGAAAATGACGCCCACAAGATTTACCTAACCGAAGCTATGTCCGTAACCAACAGACACTTGTACTGGTTGGCCCAGCAAAAGAGGTCTGCAGGGAAAATCAGATACAGTTGGTTTAGTGCAGGAAAGGTGAAATGTCGACGAGACGATGGCCAGCAGGTCGTGGTCATCAACTCATCATCAGACTTGGATAAGTTTGCTTGACATGCACACACATGTTACATTCTTTGTACAATTTTGTTTTTACTTTTTTATATCTTCAGGTGTATGTTTTCGTTGCTTTTATTTCATTAATATACTTTGATAATAATTTTATTTTTGTTTATGAGAACATTTTACGTTTGATCTGTTAAGAAATTCTAATTTATGTATTTTTTTTTTCTCTCACAATTGGAACATACTTTTCGTTAACTAAATTTTATATTTTCTGTTTTCATTCATTATTGATATCTGGGAAATTGTATATACTCATTGTTCCTCTCAAGAGAGATATTATCAATAGTTATGGTCTCTGGGCTTATATTGGCTCTAGCTACTGTATAAGTATTCCTATTCTTAATTCCTTCTGTCCGTTTACCAAGCCACGCCTCCTTCTTCCATGACTAATATAATTTTAACCTGCCATGTCAACGCTCAGTCTCTCTTAACCCATTTTGATGAATTTTACAACTTTTTTCTCCATTACTTCTACCATTTAATTGCCCTATCCTAAACCTGATTGAAACCCACAATCCTGTCTTCCCAGATCCTTCTACCTAACTATACTCTCCTTCGTCATGATAGAGTAGATCGCACAGGTGGTGGAGTAGGTCTCTTTGTCCATGACAGCCTTAAATCCAAAATCCTTCATTGCTCTTTCTTAACCAATTCTCCGCATGTTGAATACCTCTCTGCTGAAATCCTCACAATCTCATCTGCCATTCTGTTTGCTGTCATAAATCGCCCTCCTTGAATTCCTTTCGATGAATCATTTTAGACTTCTCTGTACAACTTAATCCCTTCCTACTCAAATATCATCCTCTCTGGAGACTTTAACACCAATTTACTGGCGCCATCCTCCGATTATTCCTACCTAACAAACCTCTTTCATTCTCTCAGCCTTTACATAGTACCCTACAATCCAACCCATCATACTCAGTACTCAGAGTTCTGGTTTGATCTTATTCAGATCTCTTACAATAGACTTGTCCCATCCTTTTCTCCCCAAATAATATCCTTCCGAAACCTATATTCTTTCACCCACGAAACACTGTCAAAAGATCTTTACAATATCCAGTGGGATTCCATCTACTCCTCAAAATCTATAGACACCATGGTAGAAATTCTTGCCACTCATCTTCATTCTATCACCGACATGCTCCTCTTATCACAAAAACCATTCGATATCCTCCCGCTCCTTGGCTTACTCCTGCTTTGAGATAGTGTATGAGAGAAAGAGATGCTGCAAGGCGACGGTTTAAACGAACTCGACTTCCTGATGATTTTCTCTCCTTTAAACAGCTTCGAAACAGCACTCAATCAGCAGTAAGCCGTGCCAAATCCTGTTACTATCATCATTCCTAATCCAACTCTCCTAATACCAAGGCCACGTGGACTATTCTTAGAAAACTGACCATTGGTAATACACCCCAGTTCCAGTCCAATTCCGTTTCTACTGATAACCTCAACGCTCACTTTGTCTCCTGCCCTCTTGCAACCACATCTTGTACGTCCAGTCCGGCTCCTATGTTTTCTTCTTTTAATCCTGATCACTTCTTTTTTTCCCATATTACCCCAGATGATCTCCTTAAATGCATTCAGAAGTCCCATACCAATGATTATGGTCTCGATAACATCCCAGTCAGACTGATTAAAGCCGTATTGTAATGCCATCCATTCTTCCGATCCTTTATCATATATATAATTATTCTTTTCAAAATGCTACCTTCCCTACATCCTGGAAAATTGCCCTAGTATGCCCCTTGAAGAAGACCTCAAACCCATCAGCTCTTAATGATTTCCGATCGACTTCCCTTCTTTCAAAACTTTTACAGCGATTAGTCCAATCCCAGCTATCCCATTTTTCAGAGGACAAAAATCTCCTAAATCCCTACTCAGTCTGCCCTAATCAAAATTTCCCAAGACCTTCACACAGCCATAGATCAGCTGAAACTAACCATCCTTATTCTCCTAGACTTTTCCAAAACTTTTGATTCAGTAGACCACAACACCCTCCTAACCAAACTTAAAAATATCTCTTTTTCTTCTAGTTCCCTTAATTGGTTCCAATCCTTCCTTACCGGTCGCTCTCAGTATGTTGTAATTCCTAATAACCCCCCATCAGAATCTCTACCTGTTCAGAGACGTCCCACAAGGCTCTTTCTCATCCCCCACCATTTTCTCCATCTATATAAATGACCTCCTATCCTCTATCCTGCACTGACAATACCACCTGTATGCCGACGACATTCAAATTTTCTTCTCCTTTATTCTGAACGATTTCTCAGATGCCATTCTAAAACTCCAAGAAGATATTAACAGAATAAGTGCTTGGGCAAACCTCAACAGGCTCACCCTGAACGCTAAGAAGACAAAAGCCATCTTGATCGGATCCCCCTCACTCCTCAAATCCTTCTCAGTGTCCCTCAATCTCCTCCTGAACAATTAACCACACATCTCCCAAATTTCCCGTTGCACTATCTTCACCCTAAAGCAGTTCAATCATGTACATTATCTCTTTCCATATAAGTCCCGTCAACTCCTAATTTCCTCCCTTGTTTTCCCCCACTTCTACTATGGCTGTATGGGGTATGGTGGACTCCTGGAGATTTCGAGACCAAACTTAAACACCTAATGAATTGTGCATTACAATTTGTTTTCGGAATCTCAAGAGATAGGCATATACTCTACCCATCCTATCGCCGTCAGTACTTCCTGGCCACCTTTCTGTACCAGATCATTAGAACTCATCGACCCTCCTATATTTATCATAGCTTACAATTCAAATACTCCATCCAATCCTGTTCCACTAGATCTCGTACTTCCGAACTCTTTCCTCCTCCTCACCCAACTGCTGCGTTTGACAAATCCTTTGCAATTCAAGCCACCTCCCTCTGGAATTCCATCCCTGATGATATTCGGCAATCAGTTTCCTCTTTCAAACCTCTTCTCATTAAACACCTACTCCTTCCTCAATCCGGCTGATTACGAAATATACCTAAGAGAAATATCTAAGTACCCCAGAGACTACCTCAATTTATTTAGGTTATTTTAGTTTCTTATATATATGTACAATTTTCTTGTTCTTTTCTTTCTCTTCGTCAGTATTTTTATTTTTAATCAACTCTTATTGTAAATATATAATGTAATTGTGACCACACAGACATACAATCTGTACTTATAATTTGTTCTAAAGGGACAACAGTCCCAGAATAATAAAATATTTAATCCATATGGACCTACGGACTAGAACTGTGGGGGACAGCTAAATTATCTAACATCAAAGACATTTAATCCTTCCAGTCTAAAGTTATTCAAACAATAGTCAATGCTCCCTTCTATGTAACCAATGAAACCCTGCATAACCTTAAAATTCCATTTTTTCTTAACCTAATCCCAGAAATTTTTTCTAAATTTCACAAAAATCTCATTCATCATCTAAAACCTGTAGGACAATCCTTATCTAGTTCCAGCAATCTCTACAATCCTCTCCGGAGGTTAGGCCCTGCGACCTTTTGTAAATATGTATACATTGGAGTTCTGGCAATGGTCAGATTCTCCATTTAAGTCCTAAGTGTCTATTGCTTTAGTGCACTTTATTAGTCTTCCCACCAGCTGGGAGAGAAGCACTGGGATTTCCTGCAGTCCTGCTTTGACTTCCACATTTGGGGGACAAAGCATAACACAGAGTCTCATGTGCAAATGCAAATATTGAACATAAGAGTGAATGCATATTATTTATATTAATTTCATTCAGCATCGACCTATTATTTTATTAATCGTGTATATATGTATATTACTTTATTTTTAATTTATATATTTTATTTTTAGTTATTAATATTTATTTCCCTATTGTATGTACATATTGTGTGAATGATTACTGTAGCCCTAATACTAATGCCATTCAGTGAAGTCGATTGAATTAATACTTAATAAGCTCTTTAGTTTAAAAAACAATATATATATATATAAATATTTTAAGTATGCTTACTTCATATTGATATTATCAAACTGGATCAAATTAATAACACTGTGAGCACAAGAAGTTATATTCACAATCCTTCCTTTGGTGTCTGATCCTCCTTTTTCGAGTAATGGTAAAAGAAGATGAGATAAGTAGAAATGACCCATGTAATTTACCCCCCACTGTGATTCAAATCCTTCTTCGGTTTCAGAGTAGGGAGAGAACATTATTCCAGCTGAAAAATAAAATCAGTATTTCAATCTAAAATATTTCTACTAAAACTTTCAATGTTGCGTGTTAATATCATGAATTATGTTAAACTTGAATCTTTAAAATTAATGAGAACAAGCAGAATGAATTTGTCAAAATCGATGAGAACAAGCAGGAGATACCATGACATTCAAATTATAGGACATGCGTATTTATATGAACATGTGATAGGATATTATAACAATAATGAAGAAATTCAAATAGATTAAACTGAAATATATGTCATCTTGGTAGTTGTGCTATAGAATCCATAAAACATATAAATGTAAAGAATTAGCCCTCTGAACAACAAGCAATCATAGTCAAAGTGGGTGAAAATAGGAGAGTTTACAAGGACCTTGACTTTATAAGAATGGAATCAAGAAGAAACTTTAGGAATTAATAACTTGGTTCAAAGAATGAACAACAGCTCTTTTCCAGGGTAGGAGAAACATAGAGTTTTGGAAAGAAAAATTGTATTTTGCAAAAGTACAGGAAGAACATCTGCAAGAAGTTTAATCATTTAAACAAGAATTTGGCAAGGGCCATAGTCGTCAATTATTCTGGACTTAAGGATGGGAGAGAGTAGGTCATCAGGAGAAATATCAAGGAAATAAAACTTATGAGGTGTGAAGGGTGTTTCATGGATAGAACAGGGTGAGAGGTCAAATCAATAAAATGCAGAAGAAAAAGGGTCTTAAAAAAAAAAAAAAAAAAAATTTATGATTCTTCATAAATTCACACTCATGCTCACAGAGTTCTAAGCTAAACTCCTAGCTGAACACATTTTTGATTATAGCATTTCCAAGTCAATTTCAACCTTTTCCAAATCAAATTCAACCTTTTCCAAGTCAAATTAAACCTTTTCCATTTCAAATTCAACCTTTTCCAAGTCAAATTCAACCTTTTCCATTTCAAATTCAACTTTCGAATTTTTGTCAATTTTCGATTTTTTTCGAAATGAAGGCCACTTACTATATTATCGAAGGCATAGCTTTTGAAAAATACAAAAAAAAAATTGATTACGCGGTTGCATATCCATTTATTTTAACATTTTAGATTTTTTCAGTGTGATATTTCTATGTGATATTCAATTATTTCCAAGTCAAATTCAACCTTTTCCAAGTCAAATTCAACCTTTTCCAGATCAAATCAAACTTTTTCCAAGTCAAATTCAACCATTTCCATTTCAAATTAAACCTTTTCCAATTCAAATTCAACCGTTTTCATTTCAAATTAATGTTTTAAGTTTTTGTAAATTTTATATTTTTTTTTTAAATAATGGCCATCTCCTCCCTCCCTCCAATATGAAAGTCTATTATTATGCTCCCCTAAGTAGAATTTTCACTTACGGATATCGATTTATTGTACCTATTCGGATTTATTAGGGACTAGTATTATGCTGTCCTGTACCTAGTTTTGAAAATAACCTCCATTTTAAGATTACGTGACTGCGTTTCGAATCATTTAAGTTTTTCTAATTTATCCAATATAAAGGTCTACTTTTTTCCCTTTCAAATTAAACCTTTTCCATTTCAAATTCAACCTTTTTTTATTTAGTTAATTATCCTTAATTTTACGATGCGTGAGTCTGTTATCGTATGAGTAGTTTTTTAAAATAACCTCCTTTTTAAGATTACGTGACTGCGTTTCGAATTATTTAAGTTTTTTTGACTTATTCGATATAAGGGTGTATTTTTATGTTTCCCGATCAGTAAATTTTGAAAATAACATCTATTTTATGTTTACGCCACTGTGTTTTGATTTATTTAAGTTTTTATAATTTATCCAATATAAAGGTCTACTTTTTTGTTTTCGGAGCCGTAGATTTTGAAAACGACCTCCATTTTAAGATTAGGCCACCGCGTTTCGACTTATTTGAGTTTTTTCGGATATTTTTCATATGAGGGTGTATTTTTATGTTTCCGGAGCTGTAGATTTTGAAAATGACCTCCATTTTAAGATTAGGCCACCGCGTTTCGACTTATTTCAGTTTTTCGGATATTTTTCATATGAGGGTGTATTTTTATGTTTCCGGAGCTGTAGATTTTGAAAATGACCTCCATTTTAAGATTAGGCCACCGCGTTTCGACTTATTTCAGTTTTTCGGATATTTTTCATATGAGGGTATATTTTTATGTTTCCGGAGCTGTAGATTTTGAAAATGACCTCCATTTTAAGATTAGGCAACGCGTTTCGACTTATTTCAGTTTTTCGGATATTTTTCATATGAGGGTGTATTTTTATGTTTCCGGAGCTGTCGATTTTGAAAATGACCTCCATTTTATGATTAAGCCACTGCGTTTTGACTTATTTAAGTTTTTCGTATTTATCCAATATTAAGGTCTACTTTTATGTTTCTTGAGCCGTAGATTTTGAAAATGACCTCCATTTTAAGATTACGCCACTGACGTTTCGGCTTATTCAAGTTTTACGAATTTATCCAATTTAAAGATCTACTTTTATGATGCCGGAGCCTTAGTTTTTAAAACGACTTACATTTTAAGATTAGGCCACTGTGTTTCGGTTTTGTTAAGTGTTTTTGATTTTTCCTTCGAATAAAAAACAAAATATTAAGGATTAATTTATTTTTCAATAAATAAATAAAAATATCTAATCAAAATAAATAAAATATGTATCGTCTCATTTTTAATTTAATTTTAGTTATCTTTTTTAATGTTGTGGTCTCCTATCACAAAATTATAAGATTTCGAACAATTAGCTGAAAAATCTGAATACGGAAGGTTAAATTTATTACTAGTTGCTTTTCGGCTTTTTAGTTTGTATTCTGTGGTTAATTTAACTTTAGCTTCATAATATTTATTTATTTATTCATACTCGAAAACATATTGATGAAACTTTGTATTGAAAAAATCCAAAATGAAGCCTAATTAATCAAGATGCAGCGGCTTAGTCATAAAATGGAGCTTAAATATTAGATAAATTTCAATATTAAAGATTAGAAAAATTTCAATACGTCTCGGATAACATATAAGTAGATTCTTATACCGAAAAAGTAAAAAAAAAAAACTTTTATAATCCAAAACAGTGGCATAAACTTGAAATTGGGTCATTACAAACTGGGGGAAATCTACTGCTCCAGAAACATAAAATTAGACCTTTATACTTGTTAAATTCTACAAATTTAAATAAGTTGAAACGCAGTTGCGTAATCATAAAATAGAGGTCATTTTCAGAATCTAAGGTTCCGAAAACATAAAAGTAGACCTTTAAATTGGATAAATTCGAAAAACTTAAATAAGTCAAAATGTAATGGCGTGATCATTAAATGGAGGTCATTTTCAAAATCTACGGCTCAAGAAACATAAAAGTAGACCTTAATATTGGATAAATACGAAAAACTTAAATAAGTCAAAACGCAGTGGCGTAATCATAAAATGGAGGTCATTTTCAAAATCGACAGCTCCGGAAACATAAAAATACACCCTCATATGAAAAATATCCGAAAAACTGAAATAAGTCGAAACGCGTTGCCTAATCTTAAAATGGAGGTCATTTTCAAAATCTACAGCTCCGGAAACATAAAAATATACCCTCATATGAAAAATATCCGAAAAACTGAAATAAGTCGAAACGCGGTGGCCTAATCTTAAAATGGAGGTCATTTTCAAAATCTACAGCTCCGGAAAAATAAAAATATACCCTCATATGAAAAATATCCGAAAAACTGAAATAAGTCGAAACGCGGTGGCCTAATCTTAAAATGGAGGTCATTTTCAAAATCTACAGCTCCGGAAACATAAAAATACACCCTCATATGAAAAATATCCGAAAAACTCAAATAAGTCGAAACGCGGTGGCCTAATCTTAAAATGGAGGTCGTTTTCAAAATCTACGGCTCCGAAAACAAAAAAGTAGACCTTTATATTGGATAAATTATAAAAACTTAAATAAATCAAAACACAGTGGCGTAAACATAAAATAGATGTTATTTTCAAAATTTACTGATCGGGAAACATAAAAATACACCCTTATATCGAATAAGTCAAAAAAACTTAAATAATTCGAAACGCAGTCACGTAATCTTAAAAAGGAGGTTATTTTAAAAAACTACTCATACGATAACAGACTCACGCATCGTAAAATTAAGGATAATTAACTAAAGGTTGAATTTGAAATGGAAAAGGTTTAATTTGAAATGGAAAAGGTTGAATTTGACTTGGAAAAAGTTTAATTTGATTTGGAAAAGGTTGAATTTGACTTGGAAAAGGTTGAAATTGACTTGGAAATGCTATATATATGTGTTTTGTAAAATAAACCTTTCTTGGAAGTCTGCAAGAATGGTTTAGTTAATTCTATGCAAGCTAGCCTTGTTAAGAGAAAAGCTAATCTAATTGTGTTAATGTCAAGGGATTTTTGAATTTGAAAAATGGTTTCACTTGTTGAGAACAAAGAAAATGGCTTCTCATGTGGGAAACAAAAATGGATGCTTTTGGGATGGACAAAAAAAAAAATCATTTGTTGTTTTGCAGTGTTGAAGAGAGGATGTCTGATGGTAGCTCCTGACTTCAGAGGATAAAACCCAGAATAGGGTTACCATGTTTAAACAAAGATAATTAGAAAGTGTTTTGAATATAAATTACTTGCAGTGCCACCAATGAAGAAACAGTTGTGTATAAAAGGTTACCTTGCCAGTTTAACTTGGCTTTAGTTTATAATGAAAATAGCGTTTTGTGTAAATAGTTTTAGTTTTTTGAGAGTTTGGTCTGATTCTCAGATAATCCATGCCCTGAGATAAAATCATTGTAATGTCATCTTAATATATCTACATTTTTAAATGTTTGTTTTCATTAATAACCTTTTTATTTGGTTTGGAAAGTTTCACTCCAATATTGAAGTGATCTTCCAGGATTGTTATTATTAATGATTGAGGCATCACAATATATATATAAACGAATGTATGTATGTTATTTTATGCATTACTACAACATTCATCCAATCGGCATGAAATTTTAGGAAGTTGCT